TAAAAATTTGCTATAAATCTTACAAACAATTAACAAACAAATTAATTAATTATTTCTTCGCATTACTAATTTTTAACCGGCTTAAAAAACGGAGGATTTAACCGATTGTGATGATTCTGTTTTTTTGGAAAGAGGGTACTTCAGTATTAGAAAAGAAAATATTCCATCTCTAAGGGTCGTAAACTAGGGGATGAATCGGAAATGAAATAACCGGTTTCAATGAAACTTGGCAAACAAATGTGATTCCCCGAACTTTTGAAGTCGGTTTTTTTACCTATAGTTACAATTATTCTTTTCTTTTTCTTGGTCACGAATTCTTCCTTATTTACTCTTTCTATTTCTTTGTTAAAAAACGTTCTTTAAGAATTTTCTAGACGATCAGTGACTTTTTTAATTGTGTAATCGTAGTCTACATAGCAAAGATGAGACATGTCTCAATATTTGATTAAACCTTAAAGAATTTTAGTTAAAAAAATTCCCCACTCGTCGTACTCAACAATAAATAAAATTTAACCAACAATAGAACTGTCATAATCCAATAGAATTCTGTGGCATCACGCCCTATCTATTAAGGGTTGCTGCATATATTGACTACTCCCTGCATTTTAATGTGACTTGTGTCATAAATTATGGAATTAAGAGATATTTGCCGCTATTATTGGAATTTGTTGTTTGATATTATTTGTATTGGTAATAAAGCTTCTGTTTGTGGCCATATGGTCAAATTTGTATTGATATTACTTCGACCCGAGAAGAATTTTTGGTTGGACTTCTAGGTGACTTAAATTCATCATTTGGCGAATTTGGCTGTGGCTGATGACCATGATGATGAAAGCAGGTAGCTTTTTTATAATATTTAGTGACGGGTCGAACAAGCCGTGCGCCTGATGGAAAGTTACACGCCCTTCCATAACAGTTGCGGTGCCACTAAGAGCTTTAAATCGCAAAGATCTGAGGGGCACTGCCACTGCGCCCGTCACCCTGAGACACAAGTTGACAAGTCCCAAGTACCTGTAATTTCACCAGCAGCCTTATCCTTCAAAATCGGAACACAGTAATGCTGACATTACTGCTTGGCGGCAGAAATAGGTAAGGTGGCAGTACTCCCCTGGATGACCTATTTCACAAGGAGCTCTACTGCTACTAGTTGATTCTAAGTGTTTTATTTATATATTTATTTTGTATATATATTTTACAGTCTTTAAGTTTGTTTTATATTTAAATTCTAAATTTAAATGGGTTTGTTTTTGGCGCCATTTCTTGACTTTTTTGTTTGCTTGTTTTGCTTTATTGATAGCTACATACCTGTTTTATAATAAAAATTAATAAACTATAAGTACGTTTGCTTTGGCCTAGATCACTCGTTGTTAGCACACACCCTTTAATCCATGGATACAGTCTGCTGCAACGATATACCCCGTTTCTCTATATGGATCTCAAAAAGTAACTACGGGCTCTACAGCGCGATTTCCAAGTGATTTCTGTGTGGTTGCCTCCTACTGCTTCTCCATAGAGAAGTATCTATAACGTACTGACAGAGTTCAATGACTTATATTGAACATTTTATATTGAATCAATATTGATTACACTGTAGCACAAAATAATTGTAGTGACATTTTTGTGTGCTTGTACTATTTAAGTACCTACTCTCCATCATTAAAGGCCGGCGCAGAGTGACGTCACGGCATGGCACGGCACGGCAAAGGATTTTATTTTTGATCAAGTTATTTTTATCCTTATTTCATCGAGGTTAGAATTCATATTACTTTATGTCGATACAATTATACCGCGGCACGTCGTGGCATGCCGCGGCATGCCGCAGGACGCCGCGGTATGCCGCGGCATGCCGCAGGACGCCGTAGCATGCCGTTTCATTACACAGACGTCCCGCAAGTCACGTCGGTCACAGAATTATGACAATTAAACTAATTGAAATAAGGTTTGAAACTAGTGCGGCGGCGATTTCGGCGAATGGCGCGCAGCGAATGTGCCGCGGCATGCAGCAACGCGCTTCGGCATGCCGCAACGCGCTTCGACATGCCGCGGCATGCCGTGCCGTGCCGCGACGTCAGTCTGCGCCGGCCTTAACGGGTTAAATTTGTTTTCTGTTCTCCATAAATTAAACAACGATGTCGTGAAGTTGCTGAATCGTCTCCTGATTTAATATTTTCCTTTTACATTTAGTTTTTGAAAGATAAACATTAGTTCAGAAATTTGAAAAGTTACGTACCTAAGATGACTAAATAATAAGGATTTACCCTTAGAATAATAACGCATAGAATGATAGTTTCATATCAAACGAACTGTCACAAGTGAGGCAAAAATCAAAGTCATGTAGGCGTCAGCAACTTGTATCTCCTACGCTCGTCGGCACGCACACAAATATTCAAATAATGATGCCATGGAATAACATTTCCCTCAAAAGTGGGGAAATTGTATTTTGCTTAACTCATCATGAAGTTAAAGGTGCCTACAGATTTGCCCGACAATGTCGATCAGGTGCCTACAGGTTTGCTCGATTTTGTCGATCGACAATATCGATCAGGTGCCTACAGATATGCTCGATTTTGTCGATCGACAATGTCAAGGGACAAGTATTTTCAAAAATTTATTTTTGGTAGCCGATATAGAAATGGCATTTATATCTGAATACACGATGGCGGACACGAGTTTTCAAATAAATGCAATATGGGCATCATTTTCGAGGTATTTGGCGGTGCTCATTACAAATATGGCTCTCATTTCTAAATCCAAGATGGCGGTCACGGTTTTTAAAAAAAATGCAATATGGGTATCCTTTTCGAGGTATTTGGGGATGCTCAATATGAATATGGCACTCATTTCTAAATCCAAGATGGCGGGCACGATTTTTCAAAAAAATGCAATATGGGTATCATTTTCGAGGTATTTGGGGATGCTCATTATGAATATGGCACAATTTCTATCCAAGATGGCATGGCGGGCACGATTTTTGGAATTATGGCAAGTTGGGTAACGTTTTCGAGGTATTTGGGGGTGCTCATTACGTCATCATATTGCGTCATATTTAGCTAAAATTCTTGAGCTGTTCGCGGTGCAAGTTGACCTTGAGCACTGACGGCCCGCCAACTCGTCTAGGCCCATTGGGAGCGCTACAATTTGCCTTACTTAGCGTGTGCGGACTAGGTTTTTATGCGTTATTAATCTAAGGATTTACCACAGATTTACCCTTATTGACGTATGCGCAAAATTGTTGACGAAATTAAAGTTCTAAACGATATCATTATATCATAAATGGTCAGTTTGGAATTTAATAAATTGCAAAATCATGGTTTATATTTATTATCATGGGAGCAAACTAATAATGGGGGAAATTTCAACAATCGATGTTATTTGGGTCTGTCTATATAAATTTCTCGATATCTCGAAAATGCCAGAGATTAAAATATTTCGTGACTGACAATTGACAATTTTAAGCCAACTCATTATTTTTCTAATATAATAATCAATTATGTAGGTACCACAGAGACGTGGTAGGCAACATTTTTAACAGTTTAACGAGTTTAACCATAATTATCTAGTAATCTATGGCTTAACTTATTTAGTAGATATACAGTAATAAAATTTTCGTCTTTTTGGATAGGACCGCGTCTAATTGACTATACTGCCAGATCTTGAATAAATACATATTAGATTGTAATTGTTTTTCATTAGTTTAATTTTCTGACATTTTTCGCGGACAACTTTACGGTTGCTATTTATTTTAAATAAACACGAATTGTTCGTTTTCTGTTTTATTATTAGGTAATTCTGTTAGTCGAAGACTAAGGTCGAAGATATAAAATAATAGTGTCAAAAAGCTACCGACGGCTATCTGATTCTTAGGACTTGATTGGTCCGTTTCTTGGTAATTAATGATTCTTCTTTTTCAATAGAGAATTTTAAAATATATCGAAATAAGTTACGCGCCTAATAGTAAATAAGTAGGTACCAAATAATACAACTTGCATAACAAAACGCTTAAAGCCAACTTTAAATGGCATAAAATCAAATAATGCAAAGCACAATACAATGCCGTGATTGTGTTAAACGCACCACTTGAGTCAAACAAATGAGTTATTGGCGCCAAAATCGGGGTACAGACTCTTGACCATCTGCCTTGGTCCTAAAAAATCGAAGCTAACTGTATGGGGAATAGTCATAAATGTTTTTTGGTCTGAAAAACTGAATGCGGTTTGGTCTGAAAGGGTAAGTGGAACTTTTTACATGTTGTGTAAAATATTTATACTCGACTTATGTATTTTATACTATTTTGACGACGTTTCCAAGTTACAAAAAATTCGAAGTCCAAAAACATGAAATTAATAAATTTGGCTATCTATTGAAGGTGAACCAGCATGGCTTTTAATCTTGGCCTGTCTTTTCTTTAACGGAAGGAACTGAAATGACAGCACAGACTAAGAATAAAGAAAGGACAGTGAACATATTATTGCTTTAGGATAGACGTCACGGATATGCTTATGTTATGTTATGACTGGCTGCCCCGTTCAATGATACATTTAGAAATCTTTTTCATAACGTGTACTGATAAAAGGAAACTAATTGAAAGATTTGGTGAATGTAAGTGAAGCAAGTCTCTGCGTACTTTAATGGGTATGGCAATCCCATGACGTCACTGATAGTGATAGAACAATGTGTTCCTGACTTTGTTCTATAACTAATGTCATGTCAGTATGGCAGTACCACTCATGTAGCCATTTTCTCATAATTGAAACGAAACTTATTGACACCGCCATTAAAATACACAAAAGTTATCATCATTATGTTGTTTTTGTGGTGGTGTAATCAAAATATTGAAAATGTAATATAGGTGCTTTGAAAACAATCGTAATTTGACAGTCGTTTACTTTTGTTGTAATATTTATTTTTCATCAGAAATAACGTAATTTAATCGGTTTTAAGAAAAAAACATGTGTAAATAGTTGTAAAATAATCAGTATCAAGTATATTTCTTTGTGAATATGTGGCAATTGTTGCAGAATCATTCCAGTTCACTAGTGAGACAGAGGTAAAACCTCCTAACCTCTTAATTTTAGTTTTATATAATGTAAGATTTTAATTAACAGTAATGTATTAATTTTCAGGCTGTTACCAGTGAAAAACAACTGTTACTTTACGAATTTGATAAAAAACAAGCCGTCAAATGCAGTTAAACGCTATTTTTCGGAAATTAAAAATTCCTCAGACAAAAGTGCAAAGTCCAATATTTTATTAATATGTAGCCCTTGGAAACTGTGTACGGGTGTTAGTATAGGTCTAGCAGCGAGATTATTTCTTGACAATGGCCTGGCATATTGTAAAGCTGCGCCAAACACGAGAATTATTCAAAGGAGACCGAATATAACAGATGATAGTGCTAAGTTTGATTGGAACAGATTTGTTGAGTATTTGAAGCCTCATCGATGGCTATTGGCTGCTGCTGTTGCTGTAAGTACACTTACTTTGTATAATTAGCAGTGCCACCTTATCTATTTCTGCCGCCAAGCAGTAGTGTCAGCATTATTGTGTTCCAGTTTTGAAGGGTAAGGCTGCTGGTGAAATTACAGGCACATGAGACTTTAACTTTGCTTCAGGGTGGTAGGTGCAGTGGCAGTGCGCCTCAGATCTTTGCGATTTAAAGAGCTGAGTGGCACTGCAACTGTTATGGACAGGTCTGTAGCTTACCATCAGGTGCACAACTTATAAATCCCGCTAGTTGACAATAAAAAATGAAATTATTAAGGTAAAGGTAAGTAATGAAAGTGTATATTTTATTTTATTTTATTTATTAGACGAACACAACAGTCGACATTCAAGAAAGATTTAACAAATAAATTTGCTTAAAACTAGATTTGGACCAGAATGCCAACCAGGAGCGTGTACGTACAGCATGTTTTGAAAGTTTATGTCAATTAATTATAAATTACAAATTTTGTGTTGTTACAAATAGAGCAAAAGAAAAGACCATAGAGAAAAAGTGTTAAAAAATAAAATTGCGAGACTTCAACTAGACTGCTTGAGGACACCCGCAACAGACTTTTTAAATATATGAATATGATGTATAAGGAAAAAGCAGGCTGTGTCAAAATTACTGAGAAACAACGAGCATACTTTCATAGACATCTATATACTATTGGAAATTGGTATAAGCTAGAGAGGTGTGTGACAAGTGGGTGGTCGTGTCTACCATATTGGGTGAGCTACTGGATATGAAATTATGTATGTAAAAGATGTAACTGTCACAAAATTGTTGTCACCAACAAGTTAATGGCTGCCTTATGGTATGGTGTCAAGTCATCATCCAGGCACCTATTTTGCATGTGGTGGGTGCAGGGTCCTTGTGCCATTCAAGCTCCTCCAAGACTGCTGAAGGATTTGGGGAGCGACCTTGGTGGCTGCCTTGTATGTACAACCATAGATGAGAAGATTTAGGCTTTTTGTACATAAAGGCACCATAACTTCCTAAGGCCCCGTGTATATTAAAATGTATGTAATATGTGAAGTGATTCAGACCCAGTCAACATTCTTATGAGGAAGTAAACACGCAGTGACATATAATGAAAACATCGCGTTCAAATTTAGCACTATATATTTTATAGGGTATCTGGAAAAATATGTTTTGCATACATTGACTTACAAATAAATGGACGACAGGTCTAATACAAAAACCACGAAAAAAATGTCCCAAGTCAACCTATTTAAACGTAGTGACATGTCAAGGAATATGAAAAAGCTAAAATGTTGAATTTAAATTGTAATGTCATCGCAGTACTGTCTAATTTTGCTTGCTTCGCTGTCAGTCGAACAAACGAAGACTAGAGCGTGAATGACACTCTGTATACGATTTTAACGCCCTAATTGTTCGGACACTTTTTAGCGCGAACCTGACATCCATATAATTGTAAGTCAATGTTTGCAAACTAAACTATGGGTATAGTTGCTTAGGGTTATGTATGTTATTATATTTAGTACCATGTGGTACAATTTAATGTACATTGGCCACTTAGCGCTTTTTCCATTGTACTTAGCTGGGTTTTGGGAGGCTAACATTGGTAGGGTATGACTGATGTGACCAAATTGTAACCGACACCAAACAATTTTATCCCCTCTTGATTGGTGCTCATCATAAATGTTTTTATGTCTATAGGTACTTTCATCGTTAAAGTGTGATATTCGATTTTTTAAGATTTTTTTTATTTTTTAACATTATTTAGGTCAAAGGAAAATGGTCACCATTTTTATTTTCTATATATTCTTTATTTACATTTTTTAATAATAACTAATGTGCAAACAACGACTTGGTTGTGTGTTTTAAATATTGTCTCTTTGCAGTCAGCACTGGCTGTGGCATTTCTAAATGTATACATACCTGCAATGCTAGGAGTAATAGTGAATGTATTGGCTAATATGAAAAACAATCCAGCAGAGGATTTTATGGACCAGATCAAGGTTCCTGCTATGCAGTTAATATCTTTATATATTGGGCAGGTAAATATACAATCTTTATTGTAATATCAATTAGTAATATTCTTTTTCAATTTCGCTCGGCAACAAAGTTGTTTTGCCTCTCATGCCTTGAAACCCTCAACATGCTCAGGATTCTATTTTTGAATTTCAATCTTAGGACCCTTCGCTTGCTCAGGTTTCAATACAAACAATCGTGTCAAACAACAACTTTGCAGCCTCGCACAACCAATAGCGATTATTTATTAACATTTTTTTATGGACTTTAATTAACTATATGCAAAGTGTACATCATGTTTGATATGCTGTTTTATAGTCATACGAGTTGCTTTTCAACTGCATCTCAAATTCAAAATAGCAATCCGAACACAGTATGGGTGTATAGGCACGTCTGCGCCCCTACTGCCGAATGCTAATATGGGTGGTGAGCTTTCTGTGTTGTCTAGTTCAATTTCACAGTTAGTGCAATTTAATCAGTAGGTTGTTCTAGATTCCACACATATTTGATTCAAAGTGTAGCATTTAAGTTTATTTAAAAATAGCAATCTAGAGTTTCTTGCTCGTACTTGTAAGGGAAGTCAGCAGAAATAAGTGAGCAGTAGCTTAAAAGTAAAGTGTTCCCATGTAATAAATTGATTATTTGGCTTTGGCTTTGTGATAATAAGATAAATTGCACGTCATTGTCCAGAAATGACCCAACCCATTTCAGTAAATACTCAGAAATTGTCTATATGTTTATGTTTGTGCATTTGTATGAATTTAAGGTGAACATGGATTTGATTTACGTCTAATTAAACTTGTCTAATTTACCTAATCTGTAAATATTAAGCTTTATTATTGAACTGAATTATTCAAATAGAAAACTAGACAAAAATGTTTTAATCAAAATATTCGGCAATTCCACCACATATGAGATTGAAGAAATATAATTATAAAACTTGAAATTTCAGGCAGCGTTTACATTTTTCTACATACACCTACTGGCGCAAGTGGGCGAGCGTGTAGCATCGCAAATGAAACAAGACTTATTTATCTCAATTCTCAAACAGGATATGACTTTCTTTGATCAGGAGAGAACTGGAGAACTTGTCAACAGGTATAAATTATCATATTCAAATAAGAGTTGGTAGGTATTAATAGTTTTAATTGCACTCGTACCTATTTATTTGTGTTAAACGCTATTACTAAATGTTGTTAGAGATTAAGCTTCTTTTATTGCTGTATGTTTTAGGTAAAACATCGACACCGACTGTACTAGAAGTTATATAGGGACAACTGATATCTACAGACCTGCTCTTATACCTGCTCTTATACAGTACAGTTCCTTAAAAATCGGTATCATTATCAACCTTGGGGCTGGTTTCACAGCTGTGCGTACGGTCTGTACGGACTTTCCGCCTGCGGGTCATCCGCATGGGTATTGAATCCGCAGTGCTATTAATTGTGTATTTACGGCACGGAGGGTAGTCTCCTACAATGAACACACGGGTGGCTCGTGCGTAGTTCACGCAGAGCGTGTTCCGTACGGAGCAATCCGCGTCAATGTAAAACGATGTTTTAACGTGGAGTTAAAGTCCGCAGATAAATCCGCACTGCTCTGAAACCAGCCTTATACGTTCTGGTACTGATGGATCTCCTCGAGAGGAAACGGCCTAAACCCTCAACCTTAAAATTAACTGATACCTACAGTGCTGTACAACTCGGAAATCTCAACTCATATAAGTTCCGGTACACGTCAATCTCCTTTAGAGGAGATAACCTGTATCTTCTCCCTGATAATAATATACCTACAGTTCCGTAAAATTCGGCATCAATATCAATCCATAGAAGTTTCGGTACACATAGATTTTCTTTAGAGGAGACGGCTTAAACTCTCTTCTTAAGAAGAGTTGATACCTACAGTTCCTTAAAACTTGGCATCACTATTGATCTATAGAGGTTCGGGTGCACACGGATCTCCTTTGGAGCAGATAGCTTAAACTATATACCATAGTTCACTACTCTGGCCTCATAAAACTCATATAATTTATTTATCTATTTCTAGACTAACAGTAGATGTCCAGGACTTCAAAAGTTCTTTCAAACAGACCATTTCTGGAGGCTTAAGAGCAATAACACAGGTATTTATAAATTATAATTTTTTTATTATTTTGAAACTAACTTATTTTCTGTTTACTTTTTACTGGTTTATTAATAGACCTATTTTGTTGGTCACCCGTTACTGTATTCTATTAAATGGGTCAATCAATTATTTTATCAATACTGTAGTGAATATATGACAAAATGAAATAAAATAGATTTAATTTTTTATCTAATCGGAACTGATGTTGCGATAGTCATCATATGTATAGTACTAATTTAAAGATGACGTGTGCTACAGTGCTTATGAATAATATTTGGAAGTAGGTAAATGGTTCTGCACCCGGATCGTCCCCGCACCATACAAGTAAGGATAAGGATATAAAGTAGGCATAACACCCCAGGTATATCCGAAAGTACTTACAGGCAGCTTACGCTGCATTCTTGAGTTTGTTGTTGAGTTGAGCAAACATCCTGTTGTGCATAGCCCCGAGGTAGATACGTTTCAGAGTGAGATACATTGATGAGAGACATTAAACGACGGGCATCCAACTCTGCCAGTTGTCTAGCTAAGTTTAAATGTAGTTTTATTTTTAGTTTTTAAAAAACCTCCCGTGTCGCTCCCGGAAACGAGACGAAATATCTTAGAAACTTACTCCTTTTGTTTATTGCGTTACCATAACTTACTTAACATACTTAAGGAGGTAAACAAAACAAATTTGTTGATGATTTATCTTTTTATTATTAGATATATCATGCATAATCAAATCATTTAGTACGACGATCAGTCTTCAAGAAAATATTCGCGATTATATTGTAGTACCTACTATTTGTATTAGTATCTGCGAAACTTCAAACTCTGCAAATCACGATACTAGACAGCGCAGCGTAGTAAAGTATTTAGTACTTATTACTACACCAGATTGCCAGGATTACCAAATGCCTATTTTGTAATAATTTGTTTTATATTGACAAGCTGCAATTTATCAAAGGTACTCTAATTTCTAGTGATAACAAACAAATCAACTAGATGGCGCTTATTGCACAGACTTACGGATAACGCTGGCTATTCTTTTATTTTATTTAGGATTGACGCCATCAACCCATAACAGGAAGCGTTAATTTATAAATTAGTTTGTATAATATATTATAGTGCTATCTATCAACTGACCTACAAATTGTACGAATAAACAGATCAACTAGATGGCGC